TTCTTCTTCAGAAGTTTCTCTTTCTTTTCTGATTTCCTCAGTTCTTCCATCTGTGTTATCTTGGGTGGGGCTTGTCACTTCTTTAATTAATCTCTTTATATCTTGCCTTGGATCAGGAGTACAGCTTTAAATTCATCTATGAGGTCATGGAGGTATTTTTTAGTTTTGGCTGATGCTGTATCCAGTATTGGATGGTTATTGTGCTTGTTCTCTTCAGTGTTTACTTCTCCTAGGCTTATTTTCTCATGTTGAGCATCTGGAGATTTTTTTTTATTTATCTCTTGTCATGTTTCTGATTTCTTTCAGACTGGAGTGTCCTGGGGGGTCTCTGGCCCTCTCCGTATTGCTTAGGGCCTTTCAGAAGCGTGCTGACTTGAGTTTTTGCTGTCTTCCCCAATTTGCTGTTATCTGGGGTAGGCAGGGATGCAGGGATGGTGCAGGCTAGCCTCCAGCCTCTGTGCCAGTCAATCTGTAAATTAGGTTGTACTTTCTGGATGTCACAGAGTTGCGACTATTTTGTATCTGCTTATTGGGCCCCAAGCAGAGGCTTGGTTCAGCCCCAGAATATCCTGCCAGTTCTTTCTATGCCAGAAGCAGCTGACTAATGTCACTGTGGCACAGGGTTCTGCCCAAATCCCAGCTGTTCTCTTCCAGACCTCTCTGTGCCAGGAGCACCAGGACAGCAGATCTGCCCAATTCCAAGATGTCTTCCACTAGTTCTCTCTATGACGCTGAAGCCTACACGGCACCAGGCTCTGCCCAATTTCAAGATGTCCTCCACCAGACCTCTCTACGCCAGGGGCAACTCAGTGATGTCACCGAGCCACAGATTCTGCCCAACTCTAAGATGTCTTCCGCCAGACTCTGTGTTATTGATGTCACCGTGGTGGCGGGCTCTGCCCAATTCCAAGATGTTCTCTGGCCAACCACAGCAGCCGTGGGACCCAGTCCTTAGTACTCACCAGGGCTCGGTGCAGGTCTTCCTCTTGAGTCTACTGCACACTACGCCACTTACCTTCACTGCGTTCCCAGCACAGCGTGCAATGGTCAGAAAACTGCACAGCGTTCGGCTTCGGAGCTCCAGAGCTTTTTACAATCTCCTCTGGTGCAGCAGGGCAGTCCTGGCTGCTTCGCGGGGTCCTGGGTCTCAATTTCCAGCAGTCACCAAAAGTCAATACAGCTTTTCCTGTTGGGTCCACTGGTCAGTTTGCTGCATTAAAGGCGTGCGATTTGCAGACACCCGTTATCAGCCTTCACAGTCTCAGCACGACTTTAAATCCTCTAGCTGTGCTGTCTTGGTTAATAAGAATTGTTATCCATTCCTCTGGCCCTCTCCATGTTGTCATATTCTAGCATCTAATATGATTTCTCCGGAGAGACTCTCTACCCAATCCCCTAGCAAGTCGCCATTTTTGAAAACCTTGATCATAATATTTCTTAATGTAGTATTCTATAATTTCATAGGTTGTGGTAACCTACAGTTTACAGTTGTCATATCAAAGCCATGAGAGAGCTCTAATTGGTTATTCTAAGCTTAGGACCTGTTGCTTGGACTTACAACTTTTTTTGATACAGTTCTGTACATCTTGTTTATAGAGTCTCAGTGTCTTTTATTTGTGTGCAGTATACCTTGTTTATACCGTAAGTTTTGCTGATTGTTTTCTTTGTCCCACATCCCATACCTCTGTAGGTCCTAGGCTGTAAAGGACACAGATCCAGCCCCATTCCTTCTCTGCTGCCCTCTAAACTGTTGGTATATTTTTGCCTGGGATGGTTCGAAAGCCTCTCTGCTAGTCCATAAAACTCCTTTCCAGGCTGTGTCCTGTCCACTTCTGAAAGCTAGTGTGATTTTTTCAAAGCATAAATCAAACATTGTACCTTTCTCAAAACTCTCCAGTGACTTCTCATTGCACTGCGAATAACACAAATGCTTTTCCAAGCCCCGAGTCATAGCCTGAATCCACATCTTCCCTCTCCCCCACTTTCCCCCACCTCACAGCAGCACCCTCGAGACCATGCACACTCATTCAGGGGGAGGAGAAGGAACCCTCAGAGGCCACTTTTTACCACCCCTGGTAAGCAAGGGCTCTCTCTTCAATTACACATTGGTGTATTACCCTATTGGGTTCTCTTCAGGACTCAACGTTAAAATGATTTGGGTTTTGTACTTGTCTCTCCACTAGAATGTAAGCCCCATGAGGGCAGAGACTATTCTGTACACACTCTAGGACAGTCCCTACTGTGTGTAAGGGTAATCGGTGCTCTTTGTGGGGTCTACATCTGCAAGTCCAACCAACCTCTACACGTCAGAAATATTTTTTAATTGCATCTGTACTGAACATGTACAAATTTTTCTTGCCATTCCCGAGACAAACAAGAATAGAGCTGTTTACACAGTGTTCACAACATTGTATTAGGTACTATAATCCACAGATAATTTAAAGTATACTGGAGGATACAGAATAGTTGTAGCTGTAGGTTTGTGTAGGTTCCATGCAAATTCCATGCCATTTTATATGAGTGACTTGATAATCTTCAGATTTTGCTATCAACAAAGATCCTAAAGTCAGTCCCTACTCCAGACCCAGAGGAATGACAGTGCTTAGTGAATGTTAGATGAGGAGCCTCTGATGAATCTCGCAACACCTCATGCAAAAGGACTCCAGCAGCTTTGCAACACCTACACCCTTGGCATTGCCCACGGTTGATGGAAGTAGCATTACTGTCACCTCAACTTTTTTCCATTTCCCTAACAGCTCACCTTGGCATTTCAAAGTAATCTTTAAGTTCCTTCTGTCCTGGTAGTCTAGAACTGTTCCTGTGAGTACATTCTTGACCATCTGCAGTGGTCCTAGACATCCGAGCCATTCAATCCCTGTTTGTGCATCTTGTATAAAACCAAGTGCATTATGGGGAGGGCTGGGGGGCATTATACTCAGAAGGAGCTACATACTTCTTCACATAAAATGGAAATGTGCAGCTCCAAAGCTTTTCCTTTCTTAAAAGTACGTATGTCCATCTGTTAGTCCTCCCTTCACCCAGATTTAGCTTAAAAGACAAAAACAGTGGTATAGAATTATTCAGTCATGGCAACAATCAGTTAATTATTAGGTTAGATTTTAAATTAGAGTCTGGAGAAAGTACTAGCATCTGTGGCAGAGAAAATCAGTCTGCAGGTGTGTTTCAGAAGAGCTCCTGCGCCCACAGGAAGGCCTCAGTGTTCTGTGGCTGTGTTGACTTCTGGGTGATCGAGCTCTTAACTGTGTGCAGTGGCTCTCTGTCTGTATACAGAAGGTGAGCTGTTTTACTTGCCTGAAACAGGAGTTTCTTTTGCTATAAAAATTAGATTTTTTGAAGCTTTCAAGAAGCTCATGGCCTGGGAAATATTTAGTGTTGTGGGAGCAGATGATGTGCAAGACCCTGTGGGTAATCCTAGAGGAGAGAAGCAGCGGGGGCCCTCTTCCTACCGCTGGGAGCAGGAGCTCTGTAACAGGTTCCCGCTGCAGTGTCAGGTGCAGCTGTGACACGACCCTGGCTCTGCCGCTGCACATTCTGTACCCATAGGAGAATCCCCCAAACCTCCTTACACCTTGGTTTCCTTACTTGTGCAGTGGGGCCAGTTATGTGTAATGAGAGTTCATTTTAATAATAAATGCTAGCTATTGCCATGCCTGGAGTGTGGTGGGTGTTTAGTAGGTATCACGTGGATGACACATGTTTTTGGTTTGCTTAGACTCTTGGCCCCCTGCATCTGCTGTGAAAGGTCTCATAGGAGAATCCATGTATTTAGCAGCTGTGATTGATCTAATAGCGTGAACTGAAGGCAGAGTTGTATATTGTGGTGTCACTGTCTAGCTGTGTAAAGTCAGGTAAATCATGTAACAGCTGCAGATATTTTTCATCTTCAAAAAGGGAAATCATGAAGCTTGCTTGACAAGGTTCATGAGGATTAGACAGACAGGAATATACTTTTAAGACGTACAATATTACTCAAGTGAAAATATGAGCTACTTGGAATGTACAGACATTAAGTCACAAAGATTCTTAAGATATTCTTGGGTTTTTCTGTTTGGATATGCACTTAAATTCTTTTTTGCTTTCTTTTATTTTCTAACACTTCATGCGATCAACATATTTTCTTGTTTGTCTTTACAGTAATGACTACATTCATTGTGGTAAATCGGTATATGTACACAACACACTTCAGTTCCCTCCCTTTCCCACCACCCACCCTTTATCTGCCACTATCAGGTTCATTTATTTATCTTAAAGTCCTTATAAAGTTAATCATCATACATACTGATTAACAGGCCAAAAAAACATACAAAACATGTAAGATGATTATAGTAAATCAGGATACACTTTTAGAAACAACGTCCATGTCGGATTACAGTAATTTTTTTGTTTGATCTTTTATTTTGCACTTTATTTATATATTGAATTTCTCATATAAGAGAAACCACATGCTATTTGTGGTCTCCAGGTGCATCCATTTTCCTACAAAAGACTTGTTTGTCCTTCTTTATGGCAGAGTCGTACTCCACTGTTATAAAAGCCACATTTTCTTTATACATTTATCTGCTGGTGGATATATAGGCTGCTTCCAATACACAGCTTTTCTGAGTTGTACTGCTATAAATATGGTCATGTGTGTATCACTATAATATAATGTGTTTATTTTTTGGAGAAGAAAATAGCTATAAGGGGAATAGCTCAGTGGAATAGAATTTCCATTTTTAGTTTTTTGAGGAATCTCCAGACTGTTTTCCATAGTGGTTGCACCAGTTTATGCTCCTACCAATAATGAAGGAGGGTTCCTGTCCTCCAGCAGAGCCATTTGAATTCTGTCCTGCTATCCCTCTCTGTTTGACATGTGTTCTCGGTGGAAAAGCATTTTATCTTTGTGCCTGGTGGTAAAGGACCATTGCCCTCACCACAAAGGCTAAATAAATGCACAGGACAGAGAACTTGCTGTCAGCCTGACTCTGTGTCTTTACCAGGTGTCACCAACACACCATCATCACCCAGCGGGCACAGGGGAGCAGAGACAGCACGCCCACACAGTCCTGTCCTCCCCGCCGAGGGGGGCCATCAGCCTGAGGTACGTCTGCCAGAAGGTCGCTCCTTTCCGGGGGAATTACCTGGAAAACAAACAGAGCATAGTGAAGGTGGCAGGTCCACAGCCTTCCATCAGACGTGTTCACAATCCGCAAAGCGCCCTCTCCCATGTATTAATGGAGATTTGGGGGGGGGGTGCTGTACAGTGAGTTTTCTTGCAGAATAAGTAGTGCTGATTATTGGCTGTACTAAGAACTGTGCTGCACGAACCTGTATGCACGAGGCCCAGCTTTACAGCCAGATGGGGTGGACCTCCCGGGAAGTACCCAACCACAACTCTGGAAACGGGAGAAGTGCATACTTAAAAGTTTTTTAAAAAGGAAGTGTTGCTCTCCACTGCTGGTCCTTAGGTTCACTGATTTATGGAGATGGCCAAAGAACGTGTCCACCGTGGAGGAAACAGAAGCACCGGGCTGTCCCAGCCAAGCCCCTGGTCAGCTCCCTGGCGTGCAGGGGAAGCATTGGCATGCCTTCACATCTCAGCCTGGGGAAGCCCTGCTGCGCTTCCTCACTTTCCTTGGGCTTCCCAGCTCAGTAGAAGGCCCGCGGGGTTCCCCTCTCTGAACACATCCCCTTGCCTTGCAGGAAGCCCCGAGGAGAGGGCAAGAAGTGCCGGAAGGTGTATGGGATGGAGAATCGGGACATGTGGTGCACCGCTTGCCGCTGGAAGAAGGCCTGCCAGAGGTTTGTCGACTGAGACCAGAGCCCCTGCCTCCTGCTGCACGGGTTGCAAAGAGCTGCTCCTTCCCACCGACCCTTGAGGCCCAGGGAAAGCACTCCAGGAATCTTGGTGGAATTCACAGAAAATCACCACGTTCCACTGCTGTTTCTGAGAATCCAGACTAAAACAGCTAGAATGGTTTTCTTCTCCCTTTCAAAAGAAAAGTGAACTTTGTTTGCTGAGTCTAGGTCTAAATCTGTGGATTTCTATAGCAACTGAACCAACCGAGTCCATTTTTACCTAGAAAGGAGGTACATTTTGATAAGCTTTCTGAATTATGACATTTCTGAGATTTTTTTTTTTTTGACATTTAAAGAACATTTAACCTACAGTTATTCGGTAGCATTTGTACACAGAATGGTACCTCCTTTGTGAATAACTTTTTCCCTGTTTCCTTTGACTTCTTGGAGCACTACATATTATGATGTGTTGCAGGAAAGAGCAGCACTCTGGGTATCTTTTCTATATCAATTTTATTTTGTTTTTAAGACCAGCCCTAAACTGAACCATGGTAGAGCAGTTAGCTTGGAGGGCCCCAGATGGTATAAGCAATTGGCGATGGATATCACCAGCAGACTTCAGCCCCCAGCTGAGTTGAGGACACCTGCTGTCACTGTTGGGAACTTCTAGCAGTCTTCCTCGGGTCTGTATGAAGCTCTTCTGTAAGAGGCAGCACAGTGAATTCCTCACCTGCCACAGCTCAGACAAGAAGCAGCACCTGGAGTCACGTGGGTAAGCCTGCTTCTTTCAGGGATGCGATCGGACCGCAGCTCAGATCTCTTTGGTACCACTTGCCTGTCAAGTTGTAGCCAGGTGAACAAGTCATCGGTCCTTCCCACCACATACTACCACCAACCAATCCCAGGAAAGGTAGAGAACTCCAGACTGTCCCTGAAGGTTTGCTTTACACAACAGAGCACAGCTGACCTGACCCATCTGTTCCGAAAGTGACATCAGGTCAATAGACCAGCTTCCACGCTGAGTGCACTTTCATAGGTTTTATGCTTTAGTGTATCTGGGAGAAGGGTTGATGTAAAATATAAACATAGAAAAAAGGCCTAAACCTTTATTTTTCTTGTAAAAATATGGGCGCTATTAAGAATTTGCTCAGAAAGGAACATTCAGAGCACCAAAAGGAAAATGCATGTTGATATAGGAATCGTTCGGTTCAGTAGGGCCAGGGCATGCACTGTGTGCTAGTTTTCGGGATTTCTAACCTGTTGGTTGTACTTGCACACTTGCTTTGGTGGTGGTGGTGGTGTGGGAGTAGGGGTAGCTGTCAAGAGCAGTAAACAAGCCCTGCTCTCAGTCGCCTGTGAATGACCGACTTCTCCTGTACGTACAGAAGGAAGCAGGAGCACCTTACAGGAGGCACTGTGTGGGGATGGGGGACATAGGATCAGCCATAGGAATGTTCAATGAAATTGCACAGAGGAGAGCTTAATATATGTTTAGAGAATGTACATAGGCTTTTGTAAAAGAGTAGAAAGAAGTCACCTAATAAAAAGATACCCTTTTCTAATATAAGCAAGAGTACGTAAGGAGGTTCTACAGTGCTGCATTCATAATTTATGTATTCATATATTTTGGCAATTTTATTTTTTAGACACTCATGACTTTCTAAAAATTATTCCTTGGAAGAGATCCTGGTCTTTTCCTTCATTTATTTTTTTAAAAAGAGAAAAAATGTTTCATCCAAATTCATATCAAAGTTACTAATCAATGTTAGGCACACCAGGTGTGCTAGATGTCCTGGTAGTTACAGCTGGGCATCGGCATTTCTCACACGCAATATCTTTTTCTCAGTGTCCTGTCACTTTGCCCGCAGCACTGCTGCTGGGAGATGTCTCTGTGCCCCCGTCAGGAGACCCTAAGTGATGAGCAGCGCTCCCAGGAGCCATGTGGCGGCCCGGGCCAGTGTACTGCTCCATGGAGTTCCTCCTGGACCATACTGACCTGACAGTAGTCGGGCTGCAAGCCTGCACCAGAGGTTTCTCTTCTCAGCCAAACTCCTAGCCGGTGATTCTTGGATTAAGTCACAAAAGTGATGGAAGGCGAGGTCCGCTCTGGAGCGAGGTTCGGCAGCAGTCATGTCCAGAGCTGCAGCCCAGGAGCAGTTCTGAGCTGAGGCCTCGCTGAGCCCAGCTCCACCCTCACCCCTGGTTTCCAGTCCTTCCCAGGTGTAAGCAGCAACTGCAGTGCTGCAGGCGGCTTCCCTGGGAACTTTTTTCTTAAGGACTTCTGCATACCAATTCTTCACCTCCCAACTAGTGGGTGCTCTGTTTGCTGACCAGCCCGGGCTGGGTACTTTTTTTACTGGCTGCCAGTTGTGGACAGACCCTCTGCACCTTCCTCGACCTGCAGCCACCATGCCATTCCCGACTGGCCTTGAAGAAAGGAGTTATACTTTTTATGGGCCACATTGTGAGCTCTGAACTGCAATACACAGCTACTGGTTGTACAAGTTAAGTTTTTTAAAGTAGTGTTTTTTTCTTTTTCCGGAACCAAATGAAGTGCCAAATTAAGCCAGACTTTCGCTTTCTGCCATCTCTGTGGCACCAAGTACTTTTAACGTCTGCACTTGGCCAGTAGGTGAGAAGGGAAACGGTCCCAGAACGAGCTGGCTGCTAACCTGGAGCCTCATGCGTCCTGGAGTGCTCGGAGGCCTGTCTTCAAAGCAGTGGCACCACAATGGCGTCTGGCCCAGTGAAAATATTTGAGGTTTGTTTTGGCCCTTGATGCCCCTGCTTTCAAAAGAGCTTCTTATTTCTCCCCTGAGAAAGGTGCTGTACAGGCCACACCCCAGCCAGTTGCAAAGCGAAGCCTGTGCAGCAGTTTCAAGTCTTCGTCTCTCCCGAGTCTGGATCACAGCATGTGGGAGATAGGAGAGAGCCCAGGCAACATCAGGTGTTGATGGTCAGGGAGGAGATACCAGGGGCCTGTGGTCACCTGGCTCCTGTTCATCATGGAGCCAGCAGTGACTGTCCCTGCACAGCTGCCAGGCTTGTCTCCATACGCTTGCTATCAAGTTTTCTCCCTTGGTTGGCAAAAGCCAGTGGCAAAAGGAGAAGAGTGGTGGGTTTTTTTTTGAGACAGGCTCTCGATATGCAGTTCTGGCTGGCCTCGAAATCAAGGCAATCCTCCTGGCTCAGCCTCCCAAGTGCTGGGGTTATAGGCATGTGCTACCACACCCAGCAGAGTGGTGGACTTCTGACAAAGAATGTGCATCCTCAGCTACAAAGCTTCTGTTAGCAGGTCTATGTGCAAACAACGTGCCCTTTGTCAGAGAGCTGCTGCCTGGTCATAAGCGTGCTGCCGATCAGAATTTTCAGTCGAGAATGACACTTGGACTTTTCAGAGACAGTCACGTGTATGGTGCAGAAAACAAACCTGAAATGTGCTCCATTCAATGTCGAGACCATCTGAGCTGCAGTCAGCTCTACCTGATGACAACGTGCCATGCCACCCTTTGCACACAGCCCTGAGTCACGCGTCAGCCAGTGCTGCTGAAATCCACGGCCCCTTCAGCAGACTGTCGGGAGACCAAGTGCGGCAGTGAGAAGGCTCAGAGAAGAGTGGCCAGCACTGTACATACGAAAGCATACCTTGAGAATAGTAGCAAAATACTGTAAATATCATTTCCTCAGGGAAACACAGAGGCTATGTGAAACTAGGTCTAGAGAATCCGAAGTCTAGGAAGAATTTTTATTCTCTAAAGTCTTTTCTAGTCAACCGCTTTTTTCATGTGAAAACAGTACCATTTCAAAACACGTTTCCGTGAAGTGGACAGTACCGCCTTGGGGAGCCGGGGGTGGGCTACGTCCCGCGGAAGGGCTGTCCCTCGTAGCCACCCGAGCCCGAAGGCTGACATCTGAACCCCGGGCCAGTGCCTGGAGGTGTTCATAGACTCCGTAAGGCTGTTTCTGAATGTAATTGTGAATACAAAGCCTTGCGTTCCCTTTTATAATCACCCAATTTGGGTGGCTGTTTCTTAGCTATAAGCAGAATTCCATAGGTGAAAGCAAGCCTTGAAAGATGTGCATTTTGCTTTACGAGCATGTTACGGAGCAAAGTGCCGTGGACTTCTGTGGACAAGGTGCTGCTCTTTCGCACAACCTGTAGGGTTTCCATCGACCGCATCAGCTGTAGCACTGACCTGTGTGAACACAGGGAGTTTGTGCAGACAAGTGATAGAAACAGCAGGATAAGGATGAGAATGCAGATCGTTTTGGAGAGAGTGCTGGGCACACGGTCAACTGGAAATTTCATTTCTCTAGGAAAAGAACCCTACCAGCGGCACACGGACGCCCCCATTCCTCTACCTGTGGGGATTCCTCCATACTGGACCTGTTTCCTTCTGTCCTTTGTGCATTGTAATTCACCAAACCCAGAGTCGGTAAATAAAATGAGATTCGCACTTTTAGGTATCAGTCATGTTGTCTAGTAATGCACATCAGTAGAGAAGAAGGTATAAAATGTATTTAAGACCAAGTGGTTTGCTTATGATGGCTGACTTTTTTTAAAAAGCCTATATCCAATGATATACATGCTTTAAAAGGTGTATCTATCATAGGACCAAGAATCAAAATGAGAATTTTTACCTCTGGTCCTATTTTGTAAATAGTTCCTTTGGGTTTTTTTTTGGAAGACAATCTCATGTTTTATAACTTTGGTTGTGTAGGTCTGAAAATCACAATGGTAACGTGTTGTGGCAAAATGTAATCTTAAATACAAGAATTTGCCAAATGAAACAAATATACTGTTTAGGCTTCTGTACTTCTAAGGGACATGACACTTTTATAATAAGCGTTAGTACTCAACTTCTCAAATTAGCAGAACTGGAAATATTTTACAAGATGCAGTGTTTTATAATCACAAAGAACACGCACATTTTGTGGGAAATGACCTTGGTTTTATACATTGTAGCTTATTTTTTAAAATACAGTGTTTTACCAGACAGGAAGTGTTAGTGTTATACACAATTCCTGCTCACCAACAAAGGGCTATGCCTCTTTTAAGCAAGTGTTTTGATGCATATCTTTTCAGTGAACCCTCTGCAGGGGGGAAAGACAGATCCAACGGAATGGTTATTTACAAGAGAATCAGGAAAGCAGCCGCCACACCTGTATCATCACCAGTATGTTTTCAATGCACATTTGAAAAATTCACTATATGTATTTTAAATCTAAAGGCAAATTTTGAGCAGAAATGCTTATAGGCCATGGGAGAAATATTCCTGTAAATTCCTTAGTGTAAAATGATACACATTCTGTAAAAGTTTTCCACTCAACCTATCAGAACCACAACCCTACATTTAACTAGTATATAACACTATGTCAAATTTTCCAAACTCATAATATGTACATCCAAAGACAGAATTAGGAGATCAGTAGTGTTTAAAGGAGTTTGTCCTCAGCACTAACAAAGGAACTTTAACTTTTTCATTGGAACAAGCACTTGATTTCCTTCACTGTGAAGAACTCGCAGTCTCCCAAGATCATGAGCAGAAAGTATTTCCACGAGTTGAGGGCCGAGGAGAGGAGCTGAGTGTTTAGTCACTGCACAAATAATTCTGAGCTTTGCCAAAACCATTTCATCATACTGTACCGTTTTTTCAAGCCCTCTCACTGTTGTAACAAGAAAGTATCTTTTCAAGATTCCAGTGATTCTAGTCTCATTAGCCAAGAATACAGAGGCCATCAGAAAGAAAGCTGAGATATAAGAGCTGTCTGCCCACTGGGCGAGTCCTGGTCAGAAGGCCACCTGGACTTGGTTTCAAATAGGCCTTAGAACCTGCACACATGAGGCTGGGAAAAGCAGAAGCTGGAGAAAAGCTCGTGTGGCCATGGCCTCCGGTCTCTGAATGAGGCGAACGTCCTGCATCTTTGCCTTGCAGTAGCTCCATTGTTAGAAGCTGGTTCCCAAGTGTTCATTGCTATGCAGTTTTCAACCCAGTGAGCCCACTTCATCTTTAAATAGAAGCTTCCCAGTGGTGCAGAGCAGGGGCTGCAGATTTGGATGCCTTAGAAGGCGAGGTGAGTCTGTAAATGATCCATGTACATCAGGCCAAAGAAGGACCCTAGAGAATGGGGGAGACCTGTTGCACCCCAGGGCACACATCTCTGGGGAAGGAGACCCAGGGCTGCTGGATCTTCTCACTTGGAAACACTGAGTATTCCCTGACACTGAGTGTCGACAACCAACCACACACTTGGCCGACACTGCAGACCCAAGAGAAACTGTCCGTGGGCAGAAGCAGCCTGCGGCATGGGCTCAGCTGTTGAAAGCTTTCCCCTCGCCTGCTACTGTCCTGTTCCTCCCTCAGCCCCTCACACTCACGTGGTGATACTATCTGGAGGATTAAAACGGAGGAAGTGGTCACTTCAATGCAGAAGTTATTCCCAGACAGTATCTGAAGGAAATCATAGCTTTCCCAGCCTTGCCTCTGACCCGCACGCACCGAGTCACGGGCCAGCTCGAGCGAGAGCCGCCCGCCGCACCTGCCGGGCGCTGCCCAGAGCGCTGAGCAACTGCGGCCCTAGTTCTCGGCTGTTTCACGGCCGTGACCACTGTGACAAGGGGCTGGCAAGGAGATGGCAGCCAGGACCCCTGAAGTTTAAGGTGGCACATGATGCCGCCTGTGCCAAAGCCTTCTGCCACCTCCACACTCCTGCGGGAACCAGCCTGCCTCAGCAGTCTCACTCCAGTGTATGCGACTGTCACGTCACCTCCCTGCTGGCAGGCACTTAGCTGTTTGCAGTGTCCACTGCCTGAGTGGACACAGGAAATCATAGTACCTTTGTCTGGGGGCAAAAGCAAAGTGAGAATAAATGTCAGAATGTGCAGAAGTTGCTTTTTTCAAAGGCACTATTTTAAACCATCTTACACTGGAGTCCTGATGACATTAGGTAACCACCTAAGACAAAGTATTTCTCTTTTGAGATATGTTATTTCATGAAGAGCCCAGTGTAGAGAAGGAACACTGAGGATCACAGTTACCACGGCCTCCAGGGCCACTCCGTAGTACCTCAGAGGCAGCCTCCATACTGCCCACAGCGGGAAGGGAGGAGGCCGGCCGCAGGGATAGGGAACGGGCCGCTCAGACTGCAGACCCGCAGGATGACTAGACCCAAGAAGACCAAGCCCGCCCACCCACTCATGCTGCTGGGTGCAAACTCGGTTACCCCACACTACAGCTGCCGTGCCCCAGCTCACAGCCAAATATGCAGTTAATTGCGGGAGTCCATTCACTAAAGCAATATTCTGAGTAAAAGTTTTGACTCCCTGGGAAAATTTTATTTTGCTATAAGCATCCCAACATTTTCTAGCTATATAAACTTCAGTTGATGCCAGAAAATATAACCAGCTTATAAGTTGTAGAGATCAAAGTTGAAAATGCCTGGTGTTAGTCATGTTTAAATTTTAATGCAACGTAAACAGTGACAAATGCCTGAGATTTCTTTCAATGTGAATGACTAAAATGCTGTTTGATACATGAATAAATGACTTCTCTCCCTAGTTTACCAGGCATAATATCCTGAATTTACAGTAAAATCACCCATACCGAATCTGTCAGAGTTAGAAGGTGCCTCAAAAAGCCATTTGAGCACGTCACGACTTCATCGAGGTACTCTTTGCTGAACGATTCTTTTACTATGTGAACTTGTGCAGTGCTGAGGAGGAAGTGGCTTAGTCTGTGTGTAACGGTTGTCACCAACACCATGACAGGGACATAGAGCCAAATGCCAGGGAACAAGGAGGAAGCTATGGCTGTCAAACCACATAGCTATAGATTTCCAAGGGAGGCACAGAGGATGATTCTATTACAGTCCTTGCCTTTTTAAATAGTGTTCATGTTTGGCACCATCCGTGTAATTAACTACCAACTTTCAGAGAGAAGATGTCCTCTGTTTATAGTACAAAAATGCTAAAAATTAATTTCTGGGTTTGCCACATCTTCTTACCAAAGTCTGTTCTCTGAATTCTTAATTCAAAAATTAGTCACAGTAGAAAATGGCAACTCCTGGGCCAGGGATTTAGGTCAGTGGCATAAGCGCCTGCCTAGCAAGTGTGAGGTCCTGAGTTCAATCCTCAGTACAAAAAAAAAAAAAAAAAATGGCGACTCCTGAGAAAGGCAAGGAAGCCGATTTCCTCTGGGACAAACAACTAGGTGCTCACCCATTTGCTCCTGAATTGTCTCTGTATCCCTGACTGATGAGGAAAATCAGCACTCAAGAAGAAACAGCTTTGAGAGTGAGGAGAGATCATCCCATTGTGGCCATCAGCCTTGTGTTCCACCATTTTGGCAACTATCTGTTCCTCCCCCTTTGTGGCCTCCTCTCCCCAAGCCAGTAGCCAGACCACGTTTTCCCTCCACTTCCAAAGCCATGGATGGGAATTTTTGTGCTACTGATTGCTCTCCCTTAAAGTAAGGCCCAGAGTGCTCCATGGACCTGGAGAGATACGCTGGGCCTACACAGTATGCCTGCCCACATTCTGCAGATGAAACATTTCCATGCGTCTACACAGGCTGGGTGATTTAAGGACAGGTACTCATTTGGCTCACAACCTGCCATACTCACCATGAGAAACTTGCTCAGACTCATGGGTAGTGAGCTACAAGGTACACACCTGCAGGCCCTCCCACATACCTACCAGACAATCAGAGTGAGCAGGACCCATGACCCGATCTGGGATCCACACCAGGCAAGCATTTCATTATGTTGGGCTCTGACCTCTGTCCGCAGTTACAGAGCACAGAAAGGGAACTGGCCTATGTGTGGGGAAAGTAGCCCCTGCAGGGTAGAATGGTTTTAATGTTACACTTACAAAAAGAGGAAGTGACTACAGTCTGCTCATGTCATTGAGCCCTCACCCGTCGCCATAGCAAACACCTTCCTATGCTCGGGCACAGATCGCGGAGACAGGAAGGGGAGAAGTGGAGCTCGTGGGCCTGTGGCTGCCAGAGTCCAGAGTCTGAATTACCCTCAGGGATCGACAGTGGAGCTTCACACTGAACAGCCACCCCCAAAGTGAGGAAGCGACACATAAATTACAAACCCTTGTTTTACCTTTTTTCCCCTGTACTCACTGGAAATCAACGGCTATGCCTTGACCAAGCCCTGTGATGATGGCAAAGCCTGTCTCCCCCCAGCATCCCGACGGGAAACTCCTTGAACACTGGTAGAAAGCTTTAGAATACTTAGGTTTTGTAAGAAAAATCTCAACAACCCCAGAATATATTAGTTTCATGACATCAGTAACTGAAAATGCCCTGAGTGTAAACTCGGGAATGTGGAGCATAGATATAAAATACATATATGCATCATTGACCCATATTTTCCTACAAGACACCCTAAAACTCCTATTTTTGTACATAATGGTTGGACAGTGGTCAGCCACTTGAACAAATGTTCTCTGGAATAACCAGACCCTAGTATAGTTTCCAAAGTGTTTCATAGAACAAAATCCTATATACTTAGAACAACTCAGGATAAGGAAAAAAAATTGCTAGGTCCCAAAGGGTTCAAGACTATCATCAAATACCACTTCCACATGGCCTGTGGCCGTTTCTTTCAAGCAAGGGGGCTGGGGGGTGGGGAGAGAGAACACCAGGAATCATGAAACTTCTGTTGCCCTTTAAGGTTTAAGAAAACTTTTTAAATGTTAAGCCATCTTTCAAGTTGTTTTCTACACCAAATCTACAATATTGAAAAGAAATTACTGAATATTTAAAGATGATTATAGTTAGTAGAAATGGTATCAGTAGGAAAAAGTGTTGCTTTATTAGCGCCTGCGAAACAAATAGCAAACACCGCAAAGGCAGACCAAGAGCAAGCTGTCCTTCCCACAGGACAGTGTGTTGAAGGGACAGGCCATAGCATGCATGGGCACTAATCCAAAAGTGATGTGGCAGTGCTATCCTGTGTTTAGAGATTTTTGAAGTACAGTCCTGCCCCGATTCAGGGGGCAAGGACTTGCTTACGAAGTAAGCAAGTAATATTTTAATATTAGTGAATGAATGTATAAAATGATAAACTATGCATTTTCAAAGAGTAACATATTTTGTATGGAATCCAAGTAAATTTTTTTCATAGAGACTTACCACAACTGCAAATTATTCCAACTAAACTTGAATGCATATCCTTTTGGGGATGTGGGATGCCACTGTGTCCTTCTGCTTGTGTTTAAAAAGACAGTGCGTTGAAACTTCCCTCTAAAACTCTGGGCTCTAAACAACTCAGCCATTGAATGAACAAATGGGAAATGGTTTGTATTTTACTTCTTAAGCATAAATGGGGAATGCTGCCTCTTACAAATATGCCCAGTTCCTCAGAGGCAGATATTCCAATAACAGCGGATTAACTGCAGCGTTAAGGAGCACTGCATTGGAGAGATACAGCATAGATTTTGTCGCTTGGGTTTATTTCTCAATCCAAGAAAAAAAGTTCATAAAGTTTGGATTATATGATTTTTAAAGTCAAAATATTATCTGAAAAAGCAAATCATATTTTTTCAAGATTACATGAAAATACTTGTGATTTGAAAATTTATATAAAAGACACATTTCTCTGCTGATTTTGTATTTCCATGAAACCTTTTTCCCTAATAAGTTTCTTGCTCTTTAGTCAGTGCTTTACTGTATTACTCAGCACTTACGTTCCTTCTTCATCTGACAACACAGAAATAAATCCATATCTCTGCCATTCTGGTTCTCTTCTGTAGAGAAACTTCTTCAACTGTCTGTAAAATACGGAAAACACACTTCTAAACCTGGTACTTAGGATCACACTTAAGGTATGTTTGCTACCTAATTAGAAGTTAGCTTGGGAGGGGCAATCTGTCTTTTTATATGATTTTTAGCCAAATTCAGACGTTCTGATACTCCGTTTCGGAATCCTTTTCTGACTGTAAATACAGCCTGTGGAGGTTCAGGTTAATCAACCTCTTCGTGACTGTTCCACAACCTTGCTCCTGGCCAGCTTTTGGCACTTTGTACATAGATTTGTCGAATGTTTAAATGATGTTGTTTTTCTAAATGCTGTTCTCTAAGACAATTTTTTGAATGTTTTTTGCTTTCCATTGTTTTGGACTCTGTGTGTTAGTTTTACAAAATGTTTCCTAAATATTTAACACCAGGAAAAAAAATATTTTAAACTGGTGCTAATTGGAACAAAAGGAAATTTGCAGCTCTGAAGATTTACCAGAGAAAACATTCACACCAGTGAAACTGCACTTTCCTGAGGGGACGGCCAGTATTGACTTGAAAGGGGCATCGGGAAGATCACCGAATGTTTACAGGGTCTGTGGCCCGTTTGAGGGTAAAACACAGAGAGGCTCTGTCCCTCGCCCCAAGTTGAGGCATTGCTGCATCGGTCCTCTGGAAGCATTTAGGTAGAAGGAAAGGCTTGTAGTAAGAATCACTTTAGTACTAGTCTTCTGGTCTCTGGACTTTCATGTTCTGTAATGCTTAGCTGTAACAATGACTATGGTGTTGCCAATCTAGTCTGACGTCATCGTTGACCTGTACTGACTTTGTGTCTGGTTCTACCTTGGATTGTACTGGCACAAACCAAGCCGGGACACTGGACTTTCAATAAGACCATTCTGACTTCTGCGCTGTCCACAACATGAATTTAAATGCACTTGTAACTGATTAATTACCATGAAGTAAGTCTAACTTCCATAATAAAAGTTTTTGTGTATCTGCTACTTGGGACTGTTTATTTAAGTAAAGGATAACTAATTTCTACGAGAAAGATTTTTAAGTAAGAAACAAGCACATACTTTTTCCCTACTGACTGTTCACCACCGAGCACATTGCTAGATACGTGGAAGGTGCAGCTCCCTTTCAGTGCTCAGCCCTGCCAGTTACAACTTAAACCATTCAGTGGCTCGCCCTAGGCTACCAACCCAGTTTGCCAAGCAAATAGACAGCAGCCACTTGGTACCAAGCCATCCAGCAGACTCTCCCCTGGCTACATCTGTCCACCAAAACTTGCAGTGTTCACCTAGAAAAGCCAGGTACAGTGCATATGTGTGTTCCGGTAGGTAGCAAGCTTTGGAGTTCAAGAAACTTGGGCATGAAACAAGTTTTACCTCTCACTAGTTGGACAAGTAATCTCACCTCTAGAATATGATCAGCATAATGATAAAAGAGGAACACTGACAAGGCTGGGTTAGATAAATCTCCTAGCCCCATCAAGCTTTAAGCTTAGCTTAAAGAGGAAGATGATGCATTATTGATTCCTGGATTCACAGAAGTGACCGCATCCTGGGGCTGCTGTGAGGATTACCTGAGAAAACACACAGCAGGCTGTACAGGGAGGAATTCCACGAATGGAAACCAGACACTCAACTGTCTAGAACTATTCATCGTGGCCATCACTGCACAGATGGCTAGCACGATGCACGTGGCCAGGTTTTATAGCTCCCCCATTGGAGGATGCCAGCTTCCCGTCACCAAACCTCCTCACGGTCTCTTCATATTCAGCGTGGTCCTCGTGGCTCTTCTAACGCAGTGTCAGCAGGTTGTGGCCTAGCACTGCTTCTCAGTACCACACCATCCACCTTACCTCATGTCACCATGTCATCTCATGTCATTGAGAGGGGTGGATACAGTGTAAGATGTTGAGACATTTACCAAACTGTTGCATTATGAGTACACAGGAAGCAGCACCAAATACCACTGAGGGGGACAGCTCTATCACCCCCACATTCTCCAGGAGGAGAATGCTAAGTGACTGTCAGCAGCCACGGTACTGTGGCTTTGGGCCTGCCTGTCCACGGAGCCCACCTGCAGGTGGTTCTGCATAGCTGGAGCTGAGAGCACAGGGCTCGTGGTGCACTGGGGAGAGCAAAAGCACATTTTTCTACCAGCCAGCGTTTTCCACTTCGGAAGGAGGTGTGGGCTGCTCTCCACCCTGTCTCCCCCTTTCTCATTGTTCGTTCTCACGTCCGTCCCCAGGAAGGGTTAGTACCCAAGATGCAGCAAGGCCTGCGTCCACAGCCAACAGGCCTGTGTGCTGCCCCGCCACTGCCCACCAGTCCCAGCACCCTGACGCCAGCCCCCCAGCCTCTGTGGCTGACTTGGTGCCTGCCTTCCTAGCACAGAGACAGCCGGCCCACACGGCCCCAAGCCCACACACATACCGCCCCTCTCCCAGCTCCAGGGAGCTCTCCCAGCCTGACAGCTGTGGAGGGAAGCTGTGGAGCTCTCAGAGATGGGGGAAACAGGGAAAGAAGAAAGAAAGCTATACATGTTGCCCTGCAAAACTATATGGAAATCATACACAGCCAGTCCTCCATTTCCATCAGGCCACAGCCAAGAACTGAACCCACAGACTGAGAAAAGTGGGTAAAGAACCTGTGTCTGAACATGCACACCCTTCCCCGTTATTCCCTGAACTGCACCGTGTGACAGCTATCACACAGCACTTACATGGTGTTAGGAGTTATAAGAAATCGAGAGATGAGTCAAGCGTGTAGGAGGGTGCGCACAGGTGACAGGGAGACACTGTGCACAGGACTGGGTGTGCTGGGCATGGCGTTCTAGAGTCCATTCTCGCAGATACCAAGGGACCACTGTATTTGCAAAACAGGCTTTTTACCAAATCTTTACAATCTCAAAGAATGTGGCAGCCAATAAGCTAATGAAATAATAAATCATTTATTTATTTGTTTGTTTGAGACAAGTTCTCACTATGTACTTTAGGCCAGTCTTGAACTCACTATGTAGCCCAAGCTGGCCTCAAACTCACAACAAACCTCCTGCCTCAGCCTTCTGAGTGCTGGAATTATAGGCATACACTGCCACACCCACTGTAATTCTTTTAACGCAACAATTAAAGCTATCTCCCTTTAACAATATCCTCAAGAATTTATATTTCTTTGAGTGGAAGACTATATCCCATTTGCTATATCTAGCTGGTGGGATATATAACCAAGGACCAACAAATTAAATGAATGAACACTGTTCAGACGGGCTTCAGATACAATCACTGATTTTCATCTACGCAATATCCCAGGCAAAGCAAAGAGAAGGACGGATGTTAGCTTTTAAACACTGATGTAGATATCTGTTTGGTCTCAGAACATTTCTGAAGTGTTGCTTTGTGGTTCGGGGGACTGAATGCAGAACTTCTGCAGTGACCTACATTTATAACCCTTTTCTTTTTTCTTTTTTCCTGAGACACTGTCTCATTAAGTCATCAAGTTGCCCGGCCTAAATTTGTGATCCTCCTGTCTCAGCCTCCTTGAGTGCTGGGATTACAGGCCTGCACCACTAAGCCCAGTTAAAAATTTCTTTAGAGTATGTATATCTTTAAAATTGCCAACTCTAAATGATGGTGACAGTTATCTAACAATTAGCCAATACAAGGCAAAGTATAGAGTAACACATTCTTTTTAGGCAGAAATACCTCGCACATAGTAACAATTCAATTTTTAAAAGTGAAAACAAATGAATGCTTTCAAATGAATTAAGTTTCAGCATTGATTGGCAATATTAAAGCATGCAGAGTAAAGAAAATGAGATCATGAGATTTGTGTCAATCACACAGAGAACACCCAGGCTGTTGTTATGATATAATGGACACTATTTTATGCTGGTGATCTGGGTATTACAGTGAATGCTTGTGCCTCAGTAATACATGCATATAGTTTTCAAACAGGGTAGTTAGAAAGCTTACAGTGAAAGGACACCCCCGCTGGCCCACCCATCCAGCCCTCTGTCGCACACCCAGGAGCAGCCACTTTAACTCATTTCACTGTTTTTTCTGATACTTGACTCCACTTTGCCTTTAAGTGAATTCTTTGCAAGTCCTGCTTGGCTGACAGGAAAGCTGGCACCACCCCAGGTATCCACAATGTCAACAGCCAAAGGGACAAGGCTCAGCGTGAGCTGCAGCAGCCAGCAACAAGCAGCAACAAGCCGGACACAAGTGAGTGCCCTCCGTTCCAGGGCGCTGCTCACGCTGGACCTGTTGCTCTGGGCATGGAGGTGCTGGCTGGTGGCTGACGTGAGAGTCTCCCGAGTGCTCCCACGTATCAGCTCACTAGCACATGGCACAGCCTAAGCATCCCAGGAACACCCGTGTTCTCACCTCCATGCCCCACTTCAAGCTGGACTCAGGCTGCAGACCAGAGACTTCACGCAGCCAGCACGCTGCCCATAGGTTTCTCATCATCTCTTAACACCTCCACAGGGCCGCCTCCTTTCCAGTGTGTTCCTTACTTCACCTGAATGCCCTGCAATGCCCAGAGCCCCCCAGGAAAACACTGCCAGGCAGAGGCTGAAGAACAGCTCTGCTAAGGCGAGGGCTGTGCGCTGCTCACGTGCTGCAGCCAGCGGGGTGGGACACCTGTGTTAGCAGGGGATAGCAAAGAAAACCCCACTCAAGCAAGTTTAAGCAAACATAAATGAGGGGGTTACCCAAAGGACAGGGGACATCTTTGCAGGTCTGAAGATCAGAATATATAGCCAGGGTGAGTGGAGGTCCTGGTCAGCAGTGAGACCCTTTGGGAAAGGAAGACCCATTCTCCACTTTTCCAGGGGGACCCCACGGGGGCTGCAGGGTCCGGGCTCACCTCTCCACATCTCTTTCCTCCTCACTCCATGTGGTTGCCCTCTCTGCCTCTCTAGCACATGGTGAAAAAGTAGTCATTATGAGCCTGTCACCTCCCAGCACATGCAGTCAAGAGGGGACTGGAATCCTGGAGCTTAATCCCAAATTCAGGTCACAGACTGGTCAGTCCAATCAAGGTCCATTAGGACCCGTGCTGGGGGACAGCATGGGGCAGGGGCCTTGTGGGAGGTTTTCTAATGAAAAGGTGTGAGGGTGAGAAAGAAATAGTTAGCATTCCTAACACAGGACACAGAATTTGTCTAGCAACTAAATGCAATCCTATTCCTGAACAAGGCAGAATCCTAAAGATCATCTAATTTAACTCCCTTAGTTCATGAATTATATTCATAACCCATGGATATCAATAGACATTGAAAAGAATTGTTTGATGCCAGTTTGTTTTCATGCAGTCTTTTGCGGGGAGGAGTTCAATGGAATTTCTATTTCAATTTCTTTAAAAATGTCCACACTGATTTCCACAGTGATTTTACTAGTTTACATTCCCATTAATAATGTAGATATCCTTTTTCTACTCAGCATCTCCGGAATTTGTTATTATTTGACTTCTTGATGATCACCCTTCTATCTGGAATAAGATGGAATCTCAGTGTTGTTTTAATTTGCTTTTCTCTAGTGACCAGAGATGCTGGACATTTTTTCATGTATTTACTGCCTATTTGTATTTCTTCTTCTGGGAAGTGTTCGTTCATTTCAGGTACCCAATTTTTACAGAGTTTTTTACTCTGAGGAGTCTACATTTTTGAGATCCTTGTATCTTCTAGATATTAATCTTCTTTCCAAGGTGTACCAAGTAAAATTTTTTTCCATTCTGTAAGTTCTCTATTCACTATGCTGACTGTTTCCACTGTGCTGCACTTCAAGAGCTCTACCTGCCTTATGCTCCAACAAGTTAATTGTCTTTGTTTTAATGTTTACACCTCTGAAACATTTTCATTTTCACTTAGTACATGGTTAGAGATACGGGGCTACCTCCAATCTTCTGAATATGGGTAAACAGTGTTTTCCAGCATCATTTGCTATTGCTTGTTTCCTGAAGGACAAGTTATTTATTGTCTTAAACACAGC